TCAGAGTTTGGAGCACATGATAAGACCCAAAGATAACCTGAAATCTAGCTGGTCCCATCCGGACCCGGCTAGGTTGGGGTGGTTTGACTGATGATATCAACTTAAAAGCCCAGCTTTTCACATACGAGTGAAGAAGCAGTGGGAAGGAGAGAAGGAAAGATGGACGAACAGACACACAGAAGAGAATGGCAATGTGAAATCAGAGGGGTGCAGGAGTGATGTCTGGTATTGGGGATGAAAAGAATGGGGCAGAAATGCCAAGGTGAAAAGGAGAAATGAGTCCAGTCTGCGGCTTTATACATGGTGAGCAATATAGGCGGAGTTTTTTTTTTTGTCTAGACTGCTGATCACCTCTGTCCTGCCAGCCACTCCCCAAATAACCATACTGAGACGTAATATTAATTATAAATGCTGAGCTGATAGCTCAGACTTGTTCTTAGCTAACCCTTATAACTTAGATTAACCCATTTAGATTAATCTGCATGCTGCCCCGAGGCTCATTTACATACTTCCCATCCTGCTAGCTCTGCATCTCAGGGCACCTCTTCTCACTTCATCCTTCTTCCCAGCGTCCTCTGTGTCTAGCTGCTCCTCTTTTACTTCCTGCCTAGCTAACAGCTATTCAGCTTTTTGTTAAACCAATAAGAAAACACCTTGGCAAAGACACATCTTCACAGTGTATAAAAAATTACTCCACAACAGAGCAAAGAGCAGATCCATGGACTGTGCTTGTAGTGGGGTCTATGGAATGTAGACTCTGGAAGGCACGGATCATGACAATTCACTCACTGACTGCTTATCACCTGGCACTTACACACAGCACAGATTTGATAAGGATTTGTTGAATGAGTGAGTAGGTGAAAAACATATGAAGAAACAAGAAATAAGCTCGTGATGTAATGGACTTTGGGCTTTGTGAAGGAGTCTAGGCATTGCTCGAGCAGAGAAAGAAGGCAGGCAATTTAGGGGGACGAGCTAGCATAATGTATGTTGACATGAAACAAAAGGCAACCTGAACCAGCCAGGGAGTTATGACCCCCTGGAGGTCTCACACTCAGCAGTAACCTAATCGATATCTCACTATACCTGTCAAAATCAAACAAACAAAAAAAAAAGGGCATTGCATCAGGATGTGGACAAACTAATCTATACTTGAACTTCCACAAAGTCTAGGATTACACCTTATTTTCCAGTCCCTCTACTGGCTGAACACATCTTATGCACAGCACTGGGCTGGGTGCTGGGGATGCCACAAAGTTGTAAGTCATTCTTCCCATCAAAGCCAGGAGCTCATAATCAGACAGACGTAATTAATGAGGGCTCAAGGTGATCTGTGTGCAGCGCCCCAAGGGAAACATAGTCTGGAAACTGTGTGGGTCCAAGGGGAGCAAGGCTGGCTGCTGGTGGTAGAGAACTTTATCTTATTAACTTGAAAACATTTGACCTGGTGCGTTCACCAAGCACTAGGAGATTAAGAAGTGCAGAGGCCCGATCTGACCGCTAGATAGTCCACATCTGAACTTGTACCCAGAACTAATGCCCCTGCAGTAGTTCCAGAGTCCACTCACAGGATCTTCTCAAACAGGTCAGCAAGGGGATGACAAGGTCTCTGCAGCTGCAGGGAGGGGAGACTCCTGAGAGAAAACAGTATCTGTGGGGCATGTCTCAGAAGCCCACCAATAACTTGGCAATTTTGCTTAGAGTGAGACCTGCAGGCCTGGCTGCAAGGCCCTTCACAGTGCCTAGCTGTGCCCCCAGCACAGACGGCTCTCAGAACCTGGCTCTCGAAAGAGATGGAAAAATCAGAGAGCTCAAGCAGGGATGGTAAAATCAGAGAGCTCAGGCGAAAGAAACCACAAACTGGGAATGATTTGTCACAAGACCCCAGTTACTAGGGAGTTGCTGAGGAAAGCCAGCAAGATAGTCGGGACCAAACCAGTGGTACACTACCATATGCAAACCTCAGCTAGAGAAATGTCAGAGGTGAAAAGAAAAGTTATTCTAGGGCAACATGGAGTTCTCTAGGATTTTATCACTTCCTGTGAGCCTGCAGTTTCTAGCAGCATAATGTACCTTGCTCCATTCTCTGGTGGGTAAAGATGAGCCTCTGAGATACGTTATATAAGTTAAGCTATAACCCATTGGGTTACCCTGGAAACAGACTGGACAAGGGCTTCCAGATCAGAGACCTTGGGTAATGCTGAAAACAGAAAAGAATGACTCCCATCAACAGACCACGGGGATCTTAGTTCACCCTCAAAGGCAAAGGTAGAGGCACAAGAGCCAAGCAAGGAAATTTGCGGTTAGTGAAAACAGATAACATGAAGGTGCCCTGATTTTATCCACTGATTGTGTCATTTATCCTTAACAAAGATAGTTCTTACTTTGTGTTGAAGTTAAATTGATAGCTTAAAACTCCAGATAAAAAGAAGTAAAACTGAAGGTCTGAAAACAGACCACCTGGTGGCAGTATATCTAAAGTAAAGACTGAGTGTGTGAGAAGGGGTGTGTGTGTGTGTGTGTGTGTGTGTGTGTGTGTGTGTGTCAGGGAAAGGAGGGAGTGCAACAGAGCCATAATCTCCAGGCCAGACCTCCCAGCTCCCCTTGATTAAATCCTGAGAGCTCCGCTGTGATTATTTGCAGTTCCCTTTGGTGAAGAAGTCCTCATTATACCTTTCCCAGACTTGAGCAATAAAGGGGCATATCTGTCCCAACAACACTCATGAGCTCTCCAAGATAACTGGCCTAAAGCCTTGTACTCTGTAGTATCTGAACCAGTGAAATACCTAAGTGGTGAGTGAATTCTCCTGGTACACAGATTTTCAGCATCTAAGAATTGCCATTAGGAATGACAGTGAAGGTGAGCATTGCTAAACCAGGTGTTTAGACATAGAAGCAGCTCCTGAGGAGTGTCCACCCAAGGACGGTGAATGCAACCCCAGGACAGACCTGAGGGTTCCTTTACCCTAATGTGATGGCAGACTGACTTTCCTCTGGAAACCTGAAGACTTGGATTCCTGAACCAGTTTTCCCTTGATGGACTTAAAAATGTTACTAACTCTTAGAGCCTTTAGTTTGCTCCTTATATAGTAGAATGGTTTCTATCCATCAAGACGAAGAACGATTGGGTAAGATAACAGAGATAAAGGCAGCTGCTCCACATCTGGGGATGGCGAATCCATGGCTATCACCATGCTAGTGCTGCCACAGCATCCGAGATGGATCTGTTTGCTCTCTATCCTTTTTCACCCAGGCAGTCACTGTGGGTAAAATGATTCTCCCAGGCCTGATTGCTGCGTCTTCTGAACCAGCAGTGAAGAGGTCATTCTCGGGTTAAAGCGGACAACCACACAGACGAACAAACCTAATCTACAGTCAGAAACCTCAGGGACTATACGATCTGGCAAATTGAATGTGTCCCTGTTCTAACGTGGAAAAGACAGGTCCACCGTAACTCCAATACCCAGGGGGAAAATCAAGTCGCTGCAACAGAAATGCCCCTGGAAACACCTGCTATGTTTGGAAGTGGGTAAGCAGACCTATGAGGGGAAGGGGTATCACAGCTGGCGCTTCTTTGCTTTGGGGAGGAGGTTGTTGTTTTGTATTTGAGACAAGGTCTCTTTGTAACCCATGCTGGTCTTGATCCTCCTGCCTCCATCTGAGTGTTAGAATTATAGGCATGAGTAGCCTTAGGCTGTTTTGTTAGCTAGCTTCTGGATCTGCAGATAGGGGAAATAGCCTTGGGGCAGAGAGGTTTACTAAAGGTGGCCAGAACTAAAATGTCTCATGTTAGAGACAAAATTCTGGCTTGAGTTAAAAAGTATGAAATCTGTGCTCTCTAGAATGTTAGCTAGAGCACCTGAGGCAAGTTAACCCCTCTCTGCCTGTGTTTCCTCACAGCAGCTAGTGACAGCATCCCAGGCTACAAGTCAGAGACAAAGAGTGGATGGTGTGGATCATGCTCCCTCCTCACAGCCCCACCAGGCCTGGGCTCATCTGTGAAGAGCCTCCAGGTGTGCTTCTCCTTCTTCCCAAAGGTGCTGGGAGGGGACTTTACACCGCCTCTGGCTCCCTGTGCCTCCTACTCTAAGGACTCCTCATGGTGGCTTTTCCATATGCTCAGCTCATGCGTGGGAAAATCGGGCTCCCTTCCCTGCAGGTCCTGAAAGGGTAGCGGTACTCAGCTTAGCCATCCCAGAAATCCCTCCATCCACAAAGCCATGTGTCGTGGGTATTTATCTTAGTCTTCCTTGAATCTGTTAAGTAGACCCAGAGGGAAAGAGAGCTAAGTCCTGGGCAGCATTTCAGAGCGCTTAGCACTTCACAGTACATGACACTAACACATCAATAAGCCTCAGGGTGGGGGTGCAGCTGTGCTCACTGGCCTCTGCTCTGAAATCCAATCTCATTTAGATCAACTTCTCTGAAGGGTGGCTCACTGCTCCCTAAAGGGTGCTCTAAAGACCGTCAGTGGAGATTCTAAGTGTAGTTGCCTGCACAAAGCTATTTCATATGTTTGTACATGCAGGCATGCCTACGCATGTCTTCTCCACTCATTTCATATGTCTGTACATGCAGGCATGTTTCTAAGCATGTCTTCTCCACTCATTTCTCTTTTACAACTCAATTAAGGCAGTGTAGCAAAGCCAAAGAGTTCATGTGTGAGTAGGTTATGTTATACATGAATTGCATGTCAGACAGAAAGGGGACATTGTAAAATGCTTGTTATAAAAAGGGCCCATCTATACTGGTAGGGCTGAGAGTTTCTTCATTAGAAGACAATGCTATCAAGACTAGTGACTTCCTGGCAAGCGGTAGAGAAAGTTGGGAGAAGGGCTCCGCTTGCTATGACACATGACTGCAGCCCTGATGCCATGGCAACACAGGATCTTCACTGGGGTGGTTGCAGAGGGAATCGGGGGCTTTCCCCCTTTGGACTAGAATGAACAAAGCCATTTCTGAGCAACAGGATGGAGGCAGAAGTAGGCTGAGCTACTCACAGAGGTCTTCTGTAGCCTCTGGGGCAAAGGCAGCCATGGACTCGTAGAGCTCCTCATCGCAGCCAGGGTTGAGGGAGCACTTCATGAGGAGGTCTGTGGACAGGTGGGCCATGGATTCGTACACATCATCGGCCTCCTCACCCTGCATCAGCTCCTCCTTAATGTGGCTCTTCAGCATGTCCACAGTCTCCTGCAAGGGAAGATGGGATCGCTGTACACGAGGCACCTGGCTAGCCGGCCGACTCAGGCCCCAAGGAGCCTTGCAGTGGTCAAAGGGAGTAATCATGGATCAGGGTTACAATCGCTTATGGGAGCTCTGCTGAGCCAGGCATCAGGCCCTCTTCTCTTCTTCATCTTACCCTTCTTGTTCTAGTCCTTGTATCTTCCTCCAACACTAATCACAGAGTTAAGAACTTATACCCTGGTTCAGGTGAAAAAACAAAGTTCAGAAAACCTGGTCTTCCCTTCCAAGTTTCCAGTCTCCATTTTGATCATTTTACTACATCCCTGCGGGTGCTCAGAGAGAAACAAATGACCCAGGAACCATGAAGATGCTCAGTGGTTAGGTAGAACTAGGCTGAAAAGTTCCTACCCTCGTGCAGCCAGCGATCCCTGGGGTATGTCTCCATCCCTGTCCTTCAGGAAGGTTTATCCAAGTGGCGGACAATCACAAGGACAATCACTAGGAGGACAATCCTCCTCCAGTTTCCACACACTAGATGTCCTCACAGACAGCTGCCCTTACATAAAGGGCCCTGACATCAGAAAGGCTCCCTGTCCTTCTGCCTCCAAAGACTTTGAGGCTGACTTCCCTGCAACCTCTGAGCAACTTTTCCTGGCCAGACACGGAGGGTGTCACAATCCTTACCTCAGCCTCAAACCACAGAAACCCTCCTCATCAGCACCAACTGGCAGAAGTCACCTTTGCTTGACAGTGTGTTCATTTCTTGGTGAGACCCAAATGAACTAAATAACAGATTCTTAGTGGTGGGGACTCCAGGTGTAACATTTGACAGATAGGTAGGTAGGTAGGTAGGTAGGTAGGTAGGTAGATAGATAGATAGATAGATAGATAGACAGACAGATCAAATCGGACACTCCATGAGTATCATGCGGGGACAACCTTTGGTGGCAAGGCTGAAAAGATGCATTGGTGGAAGGTGACTTAGCTAAGGGGTCAAGACGATATGAGAAACGTGAGTCAGAGTGCTCAAGGCACTCTGAAAGTAGCTGTAACCTCCCCTGCTATGCAAAGAAAGATAACAAGACCTGACTAGAGCACTGAACTAGGTTCCACCTCTACCTTTATCAGTGTAAAGCTCTAAGCAGTCACCTTGGCTTTCTCCATCCTCACTTATAAAATGAAGGCCTAAGTCCCTTCAGCTTCAAGGGAATGTGGTGAAAGCTAAATGAGACAGGGCATTTGCTGATCAAATGAGCCCAGTAACTTAGTTACTACTCTGAACAGGGTGGCCTAACTAAAATTGACAAGCACAAAAACGGCATGGTGTGTTTAGCAAATTTGTGATTTTGAAGTAATACCCAGTAAATAAACTTAGAGGAGATTATGAGTGCCTTTATGCCCATTTGAGCCAGTGAGGACCCAAAAGAAGGACAAACTATTCTGATTGTTTTAAAACACCTACACATCTCCCCAAAACATCAGAAGCCCTTCTATGCCCCCTTGGCACCACTGCCTTATAGATTTTCTACCACAGAGTAGAGTTAGGTTTCTGAGGCGGTATCGGGCTCACTCCTGTATGGAGGTAGCAAGTAGATCACAGTAGTCTGGCTGCTTATTTTGGGTGGTCACAGCCAGATGAGCTAGGCTTATCTGGTGCCCCTTGTGAGTTTGAAAAGGAGGAACACCCAAAGTGGGTGGAGTCGGGAACAGCTTCCTCCAAGACAGTGGAGACAATCTTGGTCATGGAATAACAACCAGGCAAGCCAAGGATGAGCTGCTAAGAAAGCTGGGTGTATCCGCCTGCCTTAACTTCAGATCCAAGCAGATGGCCAGAAAGAGAGAGAGAGAGAGAGAGAGAGAGAGAGAGAGAGAGAGGATGCTAGCAGGGAATAAGGTCTCAAAGTTGGCCACCTTGATGCCTCCTCCGGGTAGAACCTCACTGTGGCCTTCACCAAGGAAGGAATCAATTCTAACACAGTTTACCTGGGCCCAAAGGTGGGCAAGGCAGCTACACACATGCCACCAAGGAGCCTTGGAGGTAGGTAAGGAGAAGAAGCAGCATCAGCCTTGAACAGACACGTTATGTGCAAGTTCCTGTCAATATTTTGGAAGTGGCCTCAGTGTTTTACATATGTTAGTTCCCTTTAGTCTAAAAACAACTCTGTGAACAGACCTCTTAGGACCTTTCCTTCTGCATATGAAGAAATGGGAGAAGGAGGCTGGGAAGATGACTCCGTGGTTAAGGGCACTTGCTGCTCCTACAGAGAACCTGGGTCTATTCCCAGGACCTACATGTCAGGTCAACAACAATCAATAACTCCAGTTACAGGGTATCTGATGCGCTCTTCTGGGGGCACCAGGCATGCTTGCAGTATGCATATATACCCATACACAGAAAATAAAATTAGGAGAGAGAGAAAGAGAAAGAAGAGAATTTGTTGCATGCCCAAAGTCACAAGGCTACCAAGTAGGAACAGGAATTTGAACCAGGTCCACGAAAACTGTCCACTGCCAGAGAGACACACGAGGATATGTTAGAGACAAAATCCCTGAGTGTCTCTGATGAAAAGGCAGGCCTGGAACCATTCAGCACAGGCCCTATCACGGGGCTTTGCTCCCCTTGACCTTACCACATACTCGTCGATGAACTGGCGCAGGTCCCTGAAGCCATGTTTCTCGGCAATGGTGTTGGGGTAGTTGCCATGCTTGTTGGCCACACTATATGCCTGGAGAGCCCCTGGACAGGTGAGCAACAAGGCGGTGAGGTTCTTCAGCCCATACTTTGCAGCAAAATGCAACAGGGTGGGTAGCTCTTCATCCCTCTGATCTAAAAAAAAAGCATCAGGGAGGACTTAACTGAAGGAAGACATAGGAAACCTTTGCTCCCAGAGGTGACACTGTTGAGCCTTGGTCTAGCAAGCAGTAGGCACTCAATCATTGCTTCCTGGCTGACTGACCTACCGTCTGATAGCTTCCTCTGGGGAACCTCTATGTTCCTGCGCTGGCATGATGGAGGAAATGAGACTGTAGTTAGTAGATCTAGTACTTTGTAACACATCCTCTGCTTTAAACGAAATGGAAAATCCTTAGAAGATGTTGTCTTTGCTTTTTCCTTTCCCTGAGGCTAAGGATTAAACTCCGGGCCTGAGGTGCTGAGTGAATCTCCCCATGCGCTACAATTTCCAGCCCCATGCTGATTTGTAAGGCTTACACAGCAGCCACAGAGTAGGATAGGAATCCCATTTTGTCTTCTCTGCAACACTCAACCCTGCTCTAAACGACTGTCTTGTGCTGCTGAGAGAAAGAAGGTCCTGGCTGGAGAAAGTGCACAAGTTAAGAGCACTGGAGATGCTCTTCCAGAAGACCCGGGCTTAATTCCTAGTACCCATGTGGTGGTTCATAACTATCTCTAACCCAAGTCCCAGGGGATCCAGCACCCTATTCTGGCCTCTGAGAGCACTAAAAACACTTGGTGCACAGACATACATGCAGGAAAAAAAAAACCCATATACATAAAATAAAGGCTGGAGAGATGGCTCAGAGGTTAAGAGCACTGACTGAGTTCAATTCCTAGCAACCACATGGTGGCTCACAACCATCCAATATGAGATCTGGTGCCCTCATAGAAAGACATTCAGTCTCAGGATTATCCAGCCATGCTGAGAATAGGAACGCCCCAGTCCTTCTAGAGGTCAAAGGAGGTGACGAAGATGCCCCAGTGAGGACTGGAGGACTAAAGGAGCTAGAAGATGGGGACCTTTCACTGCTTATAATGTTAGAGGAAAGTCAAATTTTGGTATTAAAATTGCTTTAAGAAGGAATAGGTTGTCCAGGTGATAATGAAAAATCACACACACACACAAAAAGATACCTTTGGGACATTGGTGGCGCATGCCTTTAATCCCAGCACTCGGGAGGCAGAGGCAGGCGGATCTCTGTGAGTTCGAGGCCAGCCTGGTCTCCAGAGCAAGTGCCAGGATAGGCTCCAAAGCTACACAGAGAAACCCTGTCTTGAAAAGCCAAAAAAAAAAAAAAGAAAAGAAAAAAAGAAAAAAAAAAGAAAAGAAAAAGAAAATCAAATCACTGGTATATCTTTAAATGAGTTTTTCTTTGATTACAATGGAATGATGTGCCAGCTCTCACCAGCACAGTGCTTTGTAAGCAGGCTAGGGAGGCACTCGTGCTCCCAGTGACGATGTGCAACAGAAATACGGGGAATGCCACGATTTTCATCAGCTTTAGCAGTGGCCTGCAAACTCGGCTTTCGTGAATGAGATTTTGTTGCCCTGTAGAGTGCTTGAAAGAGGCAGACATGATCTGTGAAATGATGTTTTTTTCTAAGAATGTCTGCAAAAGATCATTCCAAAGATAATGTGCCACAGATCTTTTATTTTTCTCTGTAATGAGGATTAAGTGCTGTTTTAAAAATGTAATTATTCATCTTCAGTCTTTCCACAAGATCAAACTGTAGAAAAAGATATTTAATAAAAATTTAGAGAAATCAAAAAAAATTTCCCTCTGTTAAGATAAAAAATAAAAATAAAGGAAGAAATGTTCAAATATTAAGATGTCTATTTTGTAAATATGCCAAGAAAACCAATAGGCTCATGTTGGGGACTTAGGGGTTTTTCTTTTTCCTTTTCATAACAATTGGTTTCTTGGCCCTGTCACTTTCTGTGTTTATTTATTTTCTCCTTTTTCATATAGAGTGTGAGGTGCAGCACATGTGTGTAGCGTATTTGCAAAAATATAGACATATACGAGGGGAACACACATGGAGGCCCAGGATAATGTCAAGAACCTTTCACTATCACTCTTCCACTATATTCTTTGAGGCAGGGTCTCTCCCTCAAACCCAACACAGCCTACCTGCTAGCTCCAGATATCTGTGTTTGTCTTCTGAGACGAGGATTACAAGTGAAATCATTGTGCCCGCTTGGCTTTAAGAGAGTCTGAAGATCTAAACTCCAGTCCTCTTGCTTGTATGGACAGTGATTTAACCACTGAGCCACCTCTCCAGCCCTGGCCTTGTCCTTTAAAAACAAATGATAAATGCAGCTTCCTGTTCACCAGGATATGATCCTTGGGATGAAAGGTCTGAAAATGTCCCCAGGTCCTATGTTGTCAGGCTATGAGGTACTCTCTCCTGGGCCTCAGAATAAGAGAAGCATTTACAGCAACAGACAAGAACATTCCATAGTAGGAGGAGGAGAGGCAGCAGGAAAGAGAAGGCCCCTGGAGAAGGCCTGGCAGGTAATTCTCTTCTGTGTGTGTGTGGGGGGGGATTAACAACACTACGGCAGCTAGAGCTCAGTCAGAAGGTAACCAGAGACTTGAGCACCACTGTGCAGTGCCACGGTGGTGGGAAGCAACAAGCAGCCTGTGTAACATTCCAGGTGACATCCCCAGGCAAGTGGCATGCCTGTCCTGACTCCTATTGCTACCACAGTGTACGTGCATAAGTCCTGCACCTTGCTCAAGTTACAAATATTTGCTTAAAGCCCACAAAGAGCAGCACCTGAGGATACCTCCCTGGGAAGACAGCCTAGTGAAAATGACAGCCACAGCAGGCAAACTGTAGGACAGAAGGCCGGGTATGCCAGCGGAGCCCTCAGCAGGGGGTGGTATAGACTCCTGGAGGATTGGAGGAGGCCTCCCTTCCAGAGGAAATGCTTCCAGAGTTGATGAAGAGAAAGCCCCAGGAGAATGGCAACCAAGGCAGGGACAGAGAAAAGGTGTTTCTGTGAGCAGAATGACAAGACACAGACGCGGAAAGTATATAAATTTGGGAACAGAGAACCTCTAAGAGGGCATGCAGAAAGTAGCAATTGCAGAAGCAAGCAACCACTGAGAACCACACATGTTTTTAGAAGGCAGCTGAGCATAGTTCTGTGCCACGCAATGACACTTCGGACACAGAAGTCTTATCAGATTAGAATGAAGTTGACAAACCCCTATCCCTTAGCCATGCTGTAGCCCCTGCAGCACAATGCATTCCTCACTTGCTGGTGACAGTGCTGGTGTGAATGAACCTATTGGGCTGGCTGACAGTCAGCTGAAAGTAGGACACACACAATTATGTGCAGTACATCATACTTGATGATGGTACGTGATTACGTCACAGGAGTTTCTGTACTCATCGTATTTTCTATCATTATTTTAGACTACATTGCTACTTATTAGAAGGTTGCTTACAAAAGCATGCTGTGTCATGCCAGCAGCATCCTCATACACATTGCTAGATTGAATCCCTTGTCTTTTTGTTTGCCTTGGTGCTGGCAGGCAACAAGCTAGATAGATGCCTTTCCCACGTCGCATAGCCCAGGTGTGTAGCAGGCCATACCATCTAGGACTGCAATGACAGTTGACTTACTTGTCATCATATCTTCTTCTTCCAGTTGGTTGATCCCAAAGAGGTGCAGTCCACTTGCAGGGATGTTGTTCTTCAGGGACTCCGTGAGCAGTTTATCAAGAGTCTCTGTGTTGTAGGGCACAATTTTAAAAGCCTACATAAAATAGTGAAGATAATCAGGCTTCAAATCCAGCTAGATGCTGCCAGTCGTGTGGTGATATATTGTTTATGATCTAATAAAGCTTGCCTGAAGATCAGAATGCAAAGCTAGCCACAACCATAGAGGCCAGATAGTGGTGGTACACACCTTTAGTCCCAGCAGCCACACTAGTCAGTCATAGAGGCTGGGTGGTGGTAGTGCATGCCTTTAATCCCAGCACTAGAGAGGAATATAAGACAGGAGCTCAGGGTCTCATGTGGCATTCAGACTGCAGTCACACTGAGGACAGGATCGCCCCAGCCTTGGTAGAGGTGAGAACTCTCTAGTGGTTGGCTGCTTTGCTTTTCTGATCTTCAGCTTGAACCCCGATATCTGTCTCTGGGTTTTTATTATTCATGCTACAGTCAAGGTTATAGATAGAATTCCTATGTCCAGAAAGCTCAGGTCTTCTCCCAGCAGCCTTACCTGACACATGAACTCCACTGGATTTGCAGCACTGGACAATAAGTTCCCAATTTCCTCCATGTCAGTATAATAGCTGATGGTGGTTTCACAAACCACCAAGTCCCCAGAATAGACCTTCAGACAAACACTGCCAGATGAGAGGTCTAAAGGGAACAAAAGATACTGGTGAAATGCCAGGAAGAAAAGGGGTCCTGCAAAAAGCGGTCATGGGCAGATGTGTTAAGTTTGAGTGGTAAAGCAGCTCACCGGGGCTAGAGGAAAGTGTCAGAGGTGAGCTGGAATGAAGGGGAGGGGAGGGAAGGTGAGGGGAGATGAGCAGGCCAGCATTGCGATCTTACACAAAGTAAGCATCCTTAGGTTGTCAATTGCATTTTTAAAGGATTTTCATCTGATTTGCATAATTATCAGTATCGCGCACACACATGAGCGTGTGTGTGTGTGTGAGGTGTGTGCGTGTGTGTGTGAGAGAGAGAGACAGAGTCAGAGACAGAGAGAGAGAGAGAGAGAGAGAGAGAGAGAGAGAGAGAGCACATGCATGGGTGCAGATGCCTATGTAGGCCAGAGGCATGGAATCCTCCAGGAGACTGAGTTATCAGCAGTTGTGAAGGGGTCCAATGTGGCACTTGGAATTGAACCTGGTTTCTCCACAAGAGAAGGACATTTAAACCACTGAGTCAAATCTGCAGCCTGTTTTACTGATTCCTCAGGCCTTGATGAACAAGAGCAACAAAAAAGTTAGTGTCTAAGGTGCTTTATAGGAAAGCCATTTGTCACCAAAGGCTAGAATCCTGGGGGCTAAAGGATAACTCTTTATTCCTGCCACTGTGGGCCAGTGGAATCAGCTGACTTGCTCTATACTACGTGCTCTTCCTGGGGTAGGAGTCTATACTACCGGAAGAGGTTCTGAGGGGGAAGAAAAAACTAAAAATACACCAACCACAAAGATTCGATTTACCAAAGAGGAAATGTGACAAGTCGTGAATATGGAAAATTATTAAATCTCAATGGCAATCCAGGACATGCAATTAAAATCACACATACACACACACACACACACACACACACACACACACACACTGCTTTTCAAAACATCAACTTAACAATGCTGAGCACCAATGCCTAGGGCTGGAGATGGTTTGGCAAGTGAGCTTGAGGACAGCAGTTTTTCCAAAGGCAGCTGAGAAGCACACTCTCCTGTCAGCACAGGGCCACTTACCTGGAGCCTTCACCGAAACCGTGTACTCATTCTCCAGTGTCCCTTCCACCCGGATGGAGGGCGAGTCCTCGGGAGAAAACTCTGCTGCTGTCGCCACCTTCTCATCCAGCTTGCATCTCACAATGACATACACAGTGGTTTCTGCCTGGAGAGGAGACAGGTTCTGGTGTCTCTCCCTCCTATATCCCTTAAGGAGTTGGGTCAAGGATGTCTCAATTCCTTGAGACCCAGCTCCCTCTCTAGTAAGCATAGTCCTGGTCAGGGGGTCTTGGCAGACCAGTGCTGGACAGAGAACCACAGGCTGCCAACCCAGTGAAGCAACTTACAGAAAACAAACTAAACATTTGTAAACTTTTACAGCAATTAGAAACTTTGTCTATTCATGATACTCCGAATTTTTTTTAAACCTAGGGCTTACTAGTATTTATCTCATTTTATAACATTTGTAAATGTTATTGCTTTTAAAATGTATACACCTATAAAAGCAATTTAGATGGAGTTTACCATACAATGGGGGAAACAATGCCACATATGCTACCAAGTAAAAGCCCCAGTACCAGAAATAGGTTATATCTTTTAGAGCCATTGGCTGAAGTGATCCCACAGACCACCCCCTAAAAACCATTACAGGCTATTGCCAATGTTATTGGTTACCCTCCACCACCTGAAACTATGGCCCTATTGCTGTAGACACTGTACACTTATGTCATCAAACATGGAGAGATCAAGCTGGTGAACAACTAGAAGTTTCACCCCTACTCTCAGGCATTCACCCCTACTCTCAGGCACTTACCCCTACTCTCAGGCATTCAGTCACAGTGATGGACCTGCAGAGTTTCAAGCCAGATATCCCAATATGGAGAAAGCAAGTGAGCACAAAGTCCTACCATAACCAAAAAACTATTTATAACTGATACCTGCTAGGAAAGAGAAAATCAGTTTTCTCAAACAAAGTGTGACTAGGCACATCAACCACACTCCAGGGTGGGCCTCATAGTCAGTAGTTGGGCAATACAAAATTGATTCTGTGTTCTTTTTTATTTATTTTTTTATTTTTTATGTGCTTGTTTGTTTGGTTTGGTTCAATGGGATTTTTTTTCTTTTCCTTTTACTTTTTGAGAAAAAGAACATGAAATTTGATAGAAGAATCTTGGAGGAGTTGGGGGAGGGGAAAGAATATGAACAAAATATATTGAATGAAAAGTTTCAAAATATTTGAGCAGAAAATTTTTTTTTACAAAAATCTCTGTAGCATCAAATAACTGGACTTTTATTTTTTGAGGCAGTGTCTCACTGTGTGGCCCTGACTGTCCTGAGCTTGCTATGTAGACCAGACTGGCCTTGAATTTAGAGGTACACCTGCCTCTGCCTCCCAAGTACTGGAATTAAAGGCATGTGCCACCACGCCTGGAAGACTTTCATTTATTTTTTTAAGTCTTTGGCCGGAATATGAGAGACTCTGCTCTAGACAATCCTTGCTATTTGTAAGGATTCAGGCATGATGCTGGCCTGCCCCTGTCACCTGGCAGAATGCACTCAGGCAGTGCCCTGGTCAGCCCAGGGTTCCATGGCTGCCACACCGCTATTGTAGTCTGCACACAGGTACAAAGGACCCTTTAAAAGAAAAAACTCCGCTCACTTCTGCCTTTCCCACTGTTCCTCTAAAGGGGCAGACAGGACTTTTCCTGCAGTCCTCTCTCTCTCTCTCTCTCTCTCTCTCTCTCTCTCTCTCTCTCTCTCTCTCTCTCCATCTCTCTCCTTCTCTTTCACTTCTGTTCCCTTTCTCCCTTCCCTTTCTAATAAAACTCATGTTCTGTTGGCCTTACATGCTTGTCCCTCACCCACCATGAAATCTGCCAAGGTCCCCCACGCACAAAATTATAACACTATTGCATGTAGCCAAATGACCAACAACATTGCCACCCTGGAGCAAGTTAGACAGGCAAACTGTGAGGTACTTCTTGCCACTGGGAGTGACCAGGATCTCATGTAGCTCAGGCTAGCCTCATACTTCCTATGTAGCTGATGACCTTGAACACCCGATTTCCCCGTACCCACCTCCTAATTACTAGGATGATTGATAGGCATGTGCCACAATGCCCACTTTTTATGTGGTGTTGGGAATCAAAGCCAGGGTTTCATGCATGTTAGGCAACCACTCTACCAGCCGAGCCACATCCCCAGGGCTCCAGAGTCTACATTTTAGCAAGATGCCCAGGTGACTGTAATACCTAACACTGAGCCCAACAAAGCATCCCTTATCTAAACTCCAAAATCCAAACTGCTCGGACCTGATATCACAAGTGGAAAGTTCCACACTTGGTTAACATGGCCAAAGCCCAAATGTAAGGGCAGTAGCATGTTGTATAAAACTATTGTCAGGCTGCATATAATGAGTATACAAAACAAAAATAAACTTTGTTCTAAAATATATCCTGTTATGCATATGCAAATAATCTAACATCTCTCTAACCCCCAAAATTCAAAATCTGAGACACTTCAGGTCCTTAGCATTTTGGGTGAGGGATACTCTACTTGTCCATTGTTTTACTGAACTTGGCAATGGTCACTTTAAACAAAACCAGTAAGGCTGGGCCCTCCCCAAAACCAGAAAGGCAAGGAGAGATTTCTGGTCAGAGCTAGTCCTCAATCATTCATCCAGGACTATTATATGGTTGTCATGACAACCCTTTACAAAGGGCTGCAGAAGGGTGTGCCAGGCTTGGGCTTTGTAACAGGGAGAGTGTGTGGCCCGGACTGCTGAAGGCTGCTATGAAGCCAAACTCATATTCTGTGGCTGTCATCATTCCTGCTACACACCTGGTCTTGCACCTTGTCTCAGTAAGATGAGGAGTCCAAACAAATGTGTGTCAGTCCTGTTGGCAGTCAGGACCATAGACCTGGAGTAGGCAATTAGGCTAATCCTGGGTGAGAAGGCAGCCAAGAGGCATCAGGAAGGAGAGTGATGAGATGAAGTACACATAGGCCCCAAACATCCCTACCACTGCCCCTGGTGTCTGACCACACAGTCATGAGAAGACATAGCACTGGGAGAGTGAGCCTGAGATGTCCACACAGGCCTAGCCATTCATGAAGGGGAAGCCTGAAGCCCTCTGAGTTTAAAGGACAGGGGGTGGCCAGGTGTGGTTCCAGAACTGGGGCAAATGAGAGGAGAGGATCACAAGTGTAAGGCCAACCTGGACTGTGTAGAAAGACTGTCTCAAAACCTCAAAAAACACAAATAAACAATGGAGATCAGAGAATAGTGGGGACCAGGCTGGAAGATGCATGTGTCATGGGAAAAAAAGAAAAAGGGAAAGGGAAAAACATCACAGAGCCCCACCAATTATTTCAGGCCTAATATCACAGTTTCTGACTCACAAGAAGCTGAGAAACATCAATTTTTATGCCCAATTTTTTAAAAACACTCTGAAGTCCAAACCAATCATGTTTTGGGGTCAAATTCAACCTGAAAAACAGTTGACAACTCCTATTCGGGGAGCCCTTGTGAAGCAGCTGCTGCCTCAGCCTCAGAGGAAGTCAGACCCCATGCTTGTCATTGCCAAAGTTATGGTAGCCTGTAGTCCTGAGAAGCCACAGTGGCGAGCTTAGCAAACAGCATGTACCCAGGAGGAAAGCATTCTGCTGCTCTAACTATTCACAATGCCTCAGGGAAGGAAAGAATGCTAAAAAACTATCAAATAGTGTGACAGTCTCACATACAGCTAGCTCACTTGTGAATATATGACCATCCTAAAAGGCTAGCCACATATGGTCTAGGTATTTAGCCAGTCTTTTTAGCAAGCGATATTGGTCAGCAAGTGTCAGCCATCAATCCTTAAAGGTTCCCAGAATGTGCCACTTCCTCTTCCCAGGGCTGGGCCAGTGGGAAGAGATCAGGCCTCTATGTCTGGAGTATCTGGTCTGCTGGTGTCCTGTCTGCCCTGTGTTACACATTCGTGAAACAGAATTCTTGCACTGAGGACACATACACCCCCCATGTTTAAATCTCTGACTCAAAGGAGCTATTGGCATCCCAGGCCCTGGTGACCCAGGTCCCAAGGGAAGGCTGTTGTTACAACAAGAGGCATCACAACACCCTCACACCCTTTATTGCAACAAAAGCATCGACTTGAAAAGTCAGTGCTCTGATAGGGATCTACCAGACCCCCCAGATGCCTACCCCACAGCGAATGCGGTCCGGCTGCACCACCATCAGGTTCCCAGACGGTATCTCCGGAGGCCGGTTTGTCTGCTTTGAGAGAGGAAGAACTCTCTCGTCCTCAGGCTCCGTGTCAGTTACTGAGTCACAGCCAGAATCTATGGAATACAGAACATGACTAAATGGGAGCAGGAAAAGGAGAACTGGTAGACATGCTTCACCCCCAAAAGCCCCACACATCACCATGCAGGAAGTGGCCGTGAGTGTCACACAAATCCAAGCTGAAGGGAGTGACTCACTAAGTCACAAAAGAGGAGCCAACCACTTTGTAGGCTATAGAGCAGAAGTGGACAATATCACGGAGGGAAGGCCAAAAAGTTTGAGGCAGGCAAGCTAGGTTCAACCCACCAGTTTCTGGGACTTCCTGCAGGGCTGAAGGGTGGTAAGGAAAATGGAATCAGAAAGGAATTGCCTACTTTAAAAGAGAGTAAGAAACTCTGCAGTAAATAAATTTAAAACAAACAAAACCCCACAAGAGGCAGGTAGGTATTTTCATTCATACAACAAGGACATCTGCTCAACTATGTTCATAGCAGCATTATTTGTAATAGCCAGAACCTGGAAGCAACCTAGATGCCCCTCAACTGAAGAGTGGGTAAAGAAAATGTGGTACATTTACACAATAGAGTACATGATTCAGCGGGGAGGCAGGGGGACACACAACACAATGGGATCTTGAAATTCGCAGGCAAATGAATGGAACTAGAAACCATTCTGAGCGAGGTCCACCCAGTCAACAAAAAGACAAACATGATATGTACCCACTCATATGAGGATTTTACACATAGAACAAAGGATTACCAGCCTACAATCCACACTGCCAGAGAAGCTAGGAAACAAGGAGGACTCTAAGAGAGACGATGGGGTGTGACATGACTAAATGCTTGAGTTTCTATCTTGGTTTCCCCTTCTGTGGCAGTCTGCAACCTGGATATTAAACCAAACAATCTCTTCCCTAACCTGCTTTAATTACAGCATCAGAAATGAAACACAGACTCTCTGGGCAGGCAGAGGTGTACAGATGTAAAAAGCGTGGCAAAGATGGTGAGGACATATAAGACCTCTCTCTTCAGGAGGGCTCCTAATCAGCATCTCGTAATCGACAGCCCTCTTTGTGAAGTTATACCCTAGACTCTGTAGATGCCTATACACAGATGACAAATCCACACATGAAAAGATGAGTCACATCATGTTACTAGGAAAATGCAAATCAAAGCAACAATGACATACCATGACACATCTATTAGAATGGTCAAAATCTAAAACATAGATAACACCAAATGTCTTCAAAGACATGCAACATCAGGCTCCCTCTACTAGTGGGAATGCAAAACAGTACAGCCACTTCGGAAGACACTTGGGCAATTTCTTACCAGACTAAATATACTTTACCATGCAATCCTACAAAAACACACTCTCTGATACTTCCCCAAAGCTGTTGCAAATTTATGTACACACAAAAACCTGCACACAGATGTTTATAACAGCTTTCTCCACAGCTGCCTGAAGTTTGAAGCAACTAAGACATACTCTAGTAGCTGGATAAACAAACAGTAGCAAAAGCATGGAATATATCCCTGGACAGAAATGAACTCCTTGAAGACAAAAGTGGTTAGTTCTTGTCAACTTGACACAAGCTAGGCTCATTGGGAGGAGGGAGCCTCAACTGAGAAAATGGGCCCCATTAGCAAGCTTGTCGGGGCATTTTCTTGATTAATGATTAAGTGAGAAGACCCAACCCACTATGGGTTGGGTCGCCCCAGAGCAGTGTGGTCCTAGGTGGTTTACGAAATGAACAGGCCGTGAAGAGCAAGCCACTAAGCTTATCTTCCTCCTCTCTGCTTCAGTGCTTGCCTCCAGGGTTCTGCTTCTGTAAGCCAGAAAAAATTCTCCCTCTCCAGGTTGTTTTGGTCGTGGAGTTTATTACAGTGATAGAAGGTAAAGGGGGATGCTGAGTGAAAGAAGCCTGCAGACTCTGTGGTTCTAACTATGTGACACTTAGAAAAGGACAAAACTACTGGAGAAAAAAAAAATCTATGGTTGCCAGGGCTTGGGAGGAGGGAGGAATAAAGAGTCAGACTTCATAGGCATATTTTTTTAGGGCAGTAAATGCATTTTTTATGATACTATAACGTGGATATACACCATCATGCATCTGTCCAAATCTACTGACTGGACAATACCAAGAGTGGTGTACAGTAGGCTCATGACATCAATGGATCCATGGAAACCTGTGTACCATCATGACATTGGGTCTTGACAGTGTTGGACACTGCTCATAAGGTATACGAAACCTTCATACTTTCCACTTGATTTTTGCTGGAAACCTAGAACTACTCTTAAAAGTGGTCTTTTAAAAATTAAAACAGAAAAAGCAAAGTAAATCACCACAAGAAAAGGAAATGGTAAGATGATGACTCAGCAGGTTGTCCTGGCAGTCCTCGGGGAGGGATGGGATACTGTGAAACCCTTCCTAATTCACAAAACTCCCAGACAAAATTAAGATGAACTACAGATTGAAACACAAAATAAAAATAAGATCAAATTTTTTAAAATTAAAAGATGGAAATACGGGTGCATGTATTGTCATTGATTTGGGAAAAGATTCGTTTTACAATTGAAAAAACTGCCATCTCAGTGAGCAATAGACTTGACAAGTTGAATTTAACATTCTAGTAAAAAACAAAAATGATGGAAACAAAATGACTAAAATGTGGTATAGAAAGAAACTATTAGAAGAAGACTATTCAGCAATGAAAGGGATGAGTCTTTGATATGTGCCATGTTAGGGATAAATCTTGAAGTCACTGTGCTAAGTGAGAGAAGTCAGGCGCAGAAGACCACGTATGTCACGTGATTCCAAATACCTATGTCCAGGATGGACAAACCTATAGAGGCAGATGAAAGTTAACTCTGCTTTATCCTGAAGAGTTTGGGTGACTTCAGGGAAGTAACTGAAGGATATAGAATTTTTTTCTGAGGTGATGAAAATATTCTAAGACTCTATTGAGACAACTACACAGATCTGTGAATGAAACAAAGACTATTGAACTGCACTCTTTAAGCACGGGTTCATACACATGAGAATTATTTCTTATAACACTGTTATCCAAAAACCCTATGGGAAAATCATAAACTGTTTAAGTAATCGTAACAAGAGGATGATTTCCTATATGAAGAAGACATAGAAATCTCTTTAAAAACATCCCATGTTCATTAAATGACAAAATAGAAATACAAAACACCTCCCCACTCAAAAGGCACAGTGTCACTCATTCTGAGCAGCCAATGGGAAATGAGAAAGAGCAAACTGTGTTGCTGTTTCACTTCTCCCAACTAAACCAGTGACAGGTTCCCGCACTCGGTGACAGGCCAGATCTAGCAGAAGAGAAAACCATTGAACTGTACAAACACTTGGCCACATAATTCTTCTTCCAGAAGCCTCTCTTTGGGAGAAAATACATGTCCAAAACATAAATATATTAAAACAAGATGTCTTTGTATCAGGGACAAAGTAGAAAACAGTCTGCATGTTGAGTGTTTCTGTGAGTTCCAGGCCAGGCGGGTCTGTGTATTGAGCTCTGGGTCTGCCAGGGATACACAGGGAGACCCTGTTCTCAAAACAAACAAAATCCACATTATTTTCAAAGAGTTTGAAGAGACATGCTAAGAATGGATATAAAATTACATATTTCACACTACAGGATTTAAGTTTTACTAAACTCATCTTCGAAGGTCAGAAGAAAATCTGTGACTTTTTCCTTCCTGCCTATTTCCTTCCTTCTCTCCCTCTCTCTGTCCCTCCATCCATCCATCCATCCATCCAACCCTTCTTCTCTTTCTTCCTCCTCCCCTCCCTGCTTCCTGCCTCCCTTCCTTCCTCCCTCCCTCCCTTCCTTTCTTTCTTTCTTTCTTCCTTCCTTCCTTCCTTCATTCCTTGCCTGTGTTCTTATATTTTCCATAATGAGAAAGCCCCACTTTGATTATGAGTTTCGGTGATGAATCTCCTGGCTCATTATCCTGCTGTTGAGGTCATTGGGACCTAATGAGACTGACCCCAAGGGCCAACCCTCCGTTCAGCTGGGCTATGTAAACACTTCTTTCCAACAGGTTCATGAACCCTGCTTTAGAGAACTACCAGCAACCAGCAGAGTGGTTTCGGGAAGTCAGGCAGGATGTCATTCACTCTCCCATGCTATTGCTGATGATGACTGACAAGCCATAGAGGTACAGTACAGGGAAGCTGTGACTCTATGGGGCCACTTCAGCAGATTCAACGCTTCCATCCAAGAAAAGCCAACCCCAATGCAAACAACACCTGAGTCCACCCTTCAAGTACATTGATCCCAAGCCTCCCTTCTTATCCTATTTTATTTTATTTATGTGCATTGGTGTTCTGCATGCCTGTATGTCTGTGTGAGGGTGTCAGATCCCCTGGAAGTAGAATTACAGAGAGCTGTGAGCTGCTGTGTGGGTGCAGGGAAGTGAACCTGGGTCCTCTGGAAGAGCAGGAAGTGCTCTTAACCGCTGAGCCCTCTCTCTACCTTGAAGCTTCCCTTCTTGAACAAGAACACTCTTCCATTCCACCTGTGCCACTTGTGCCCGAGCCAAACGCTAAAGGTCCGGGTGAAGGCAGTGGAAACCCAGCACCCACGACCAGGGTAGAGCAGGATTAAGACACAGATAGACTCTTTGCTGTTGAAAATGCAACGGCATTGGCTCAGCTTTCAGGAAGTCTACAGCACATTTGGAAACTATAGGAGACTCTGCATAGCCTGTTTCCCCGAACCTCATCTGTATCGGATGCATGGGACAACCCCTTATATTCAGGAAACAACTGGCCTGATTTCTCTTACTCAACAAGAATAGAAAGCAGCACATTTCATCCTTTGCCTTACTGCCGGGTAGTTCATAGGCAAACTGACTTGGTCCTCAAGCACTTCCAGACTCTTTATTGGATAGTTTTGTTGTTTTGTTTCATTTTCCTGGGACCTTTGTGGAAGCAAGATCTGTCTGTCTGTAGTCCAAGATAGCCTCAAATTCAGAATCCTCTTGCCTCAGCCTCCAGGGTGATAGGATTACAGGCCCATAAACCGTG